GATGTTACCATTCTCATCATTTGATCACATAAGCCTTTTCTTTCAGTGCCTTAAGTACAAGGAACTACAGAATGGTATATTTTCTAGGGGAGAAAATTTCTGGTGTAATTCCTTCACCGTACAAGATCAGCTTTTTTGTTAGCTCCATTTTTAAGTCACCTACATGGAATCCAGTTATTCAAGTTTGATTCATCTTCTTTTAACCTGCTGTTAGAAGGAAGATGTTCATGCCTTAGCTTTAAGCTTACTGATCACAGGAACAGCAAATCGATACATTTCTTGAAGATGGTTAGAAATACCATCAAAGGGAAAACAGCGTCTGCATCCATTTTATTTCAGGTTCTGAACTAGTTCTTAAACTGAGAGGTAGAACAAAGACGCATGAAATGGCTTTGCTAGGAAGCAACTTAATGGCATGGGAAAAGCACCTGGACAGAGAATTAAAAGAAAAATGAGGTCATAGGAAAGAGAGAGACCACATGCTTAATCACTTCACTGTTTGCTGCATCTTGGTCACATCCTAGACTGATCTCTATCTACTAAAAACAGTGTTAGAGCATTGACGCTTCATTTGTAGGAAATAAGTGTTTACAAGAGGAAAAGAGATTACTTAATTTTCAAGACCAAGAGTTCCCACGAAGGAATTTGTTAAACAACAGTAAAGCCAAGGAGAAATGCTTCACAGTAGCAGTGAGCTGACTGAGGATTCAAAAACCACATATGAAACTATTTCAGACAGTTCTTAATCACTAGCTTAAAAAGCAGCAGGCACTTTGAATGCCATAGGTATCAAGGTGAATGTCACATACATTGCAAAGAATTTTTTTTTGTTTTAATTGGCAATGCTTGAAATAGATGGGAGAGACTGCAGGCTATCAGGAAGGTGCAGAAATACAGAGGTGATACAGCACAAGTGCTGCACTTGTTGCAAATGTACTCTCTCACAAAATGTACTGAAATACTGGAAAGTTTGCAGAACACTTCACTTTAATAGAGAGAAAAAAAAAAACAAGTGAACTTGGTCTGAAGTCTTTAAAAAACAGGGAAATGAAGAAGACAGAGAGATGAGAGGGAAAAGGAGACAAAAGTAATGTATAGCACTACGAGGCCAGACCCTCTGTGTACATTCATACAGCTCCTCAGTTTGTGAGGACCCCAGATGAGCTCTTCCTAAACAGCATTCCCTCTGCTATCAAGCATGGGCAGTACAGCAATGATCTGAACCAGTCAGAAACCTCAGCACATGAGCACCTCAACAAACCTACATCAAGTACAGCCACCTCTGTTCCAAAATTGGTGAGCCTTAAAGCACCCCAGGAGCAGGCTCAGCTGGAATACTAACACACAAATTTGTGCACAGCAGTGACAGCCAGTGAAGGCACCACCTCCTTCCATGGAGCACAGAGCCAGAGCCCTGCAGCTGGCTGCCCCCCTGGGGTGGCAAGATGATGTTAGTTGTAGAATCAGAGTCATTAAGGCTAGAAAAGACATTTCTGAGAGAACTCAAGCAGTCCCTGAAAAGAGCAACAAGCTGTATGTATGATCCTTGCGATATACAGAACGTTAGCATATAATTTATGTTTATTAGACACCATGAGGTTCAATAAATCATTGTTTTCATTTGTAGAGCATTATTAGAACAGTGATTTAACTGAGGGAATTCTTCCTCATGGCCCATAGGAGTGAAAGGTTAATGGCATAATGTATTCCTATAAAACAAATAGTAGACTTCCCCCATCCCTCAGCCAGCAGGTGGTAAATTAGCAGGTAATAAAGCGTGTATGTAATCTGCATTCACAGGCCAATAAATAATATTCAGGGGCCAGTTTTACCTGCTCCAGTTGACAGTACATCACAGGGACTGTGCAGCTCCACAGCAGTACAGCAAAGGTACAGAGAGCAAAGGGAGCTGCTGCTGCAACAGCCTGACTTGAACACTGATATATGTCAGATTCCAACAAAAGAGGCACATCTAGAATATTACAGCAGTGCCCATAAATTCCATATCGTGCTATAATAAAGTACTGCTCCTACACGTGGCAAGTACACACTGCCGTGGTCCCTTCGGCTCATGACATTTACTCTGCTATCCTATTAACACTGGTGGCATTTCAGTCGGGTACTGGAATAAGCTGAGGAAAAAAAAAAAAATCTTAATATGCGCTGAAGGCCAAAGATAAAAAACACCACCTAAAATAACATGCTACCTCTCGCTGTGAAAGCGGAGCGTATTATCCGGTGTTCCTATGGATGGGACTAACAGCACGGGTTAACCCAGGCCCTTCCCACCCAGCGCTCTGCAACAGCCCAACACGCTGAGCTGCAGCCGGGGCACGAGGAGCGCGCCGTGCAGCGCCAGCTCGAGGTGCAGCGAAGAGCTGTATTTGATCTATTGGCTAAACAGTCCTGTGAAAAACAAAAATATGTAGCCTTGCTTTCCGTTTGGATCAAGGGCTGCGAGGACAGGCTGCAAGACTGCGAAACTTTTTTCTTTTGTATATTTGCAACTTCGTTTTCAGTTGATATAAACACATCACCCGGGGATTTTCACATGGAGCGTACAGAATTGCAATCAGACGTTCAACTCAGAAATTCGCACTCGTCCCTTTACTTCTATGAGCCCCACGTTACCAGAGCAAAACACCCCGCAGCCGCTCCCCTTTCCATCACCGCTGTCTGGCAGCGTGCGCCTCTGTGAACAACTCTTTTCACGGCTGAAGAACGGAAGGATGGGGGGGGGGGGAGGAAATTTCATCAAAAATCTGACAAACACCACAGTGAATGCTCGCTGAGACGCCTCCCAGCTTCACTACATCAGTGCAAATGCCCGAATGAACAGTGGCTCGTTAAAGGGTCCTTCTACATAGACAGCAGATGACTCAGCACAGGAGCTTTTACCTGGTGACAAAAGGGACATTCCGGAGCCCTGCTGGGCTCAGTCTCGGTAACCAGCCTCACGGAATGCTCTGCTTCTACCTTCTGCTCCTAAATAAAGCGCATGATTGTTCTGGTCTATGGAAATGGGTGTAAGTGGAGGCGACACGTACGCGCAAGCGCTGGCTTTGCCCAGGCAGCACAGCAGCGCTCTGGCACTCGGCTCGCGCCTTTCAACACCTGTGCAGGACCGGCGTTTTGCTTCGCCTCATTTTGCTGCGGAGCGGCTTCCACCCGTTTGCAAAAGCAGAAAAACATTTTGCAAGGACAAAAAAAAAAAACCAACAACAAAAGCCAACTTAACGTTTCTCTTCATAGCTGATAAGCGGTATTTACTTGTGTAGAGAACACGCTGCAAAAGACGTTTAAAAGCGTATTCGTCACGGCGCTTTGCAGACACGAAGATGCCGCTTCCGTTACTTTGCAGCCGTCCCACAGCACGTGCCTGGCGGACATGGCGGCCCCTACTTGTGCTCGCCACGTGGCAGCCCGTGCTTTAAGTCAGCAATACCGGCTGAGAAACTCCACGTCGAACCGTACCACAGCTTTAGAAGAGCCCATTAAGGCCAATCCACAGCTAACAACGACATCAGGAAACAAAACAAAAAGCACCATAGAGGAAAAGGTAAAGAGCAACTCTCCATCCTTCTGAAGGACGGTAAAGCACCAGCAAAGCCTACGGTCCCGCGTGCTCCGCTATGCCGACAGCCGAAGGATTAAAACCAATTCAAATGCAACAACGCTTTAAGTTTAACAAAAGGCTCACTGTCAGCTCCTCCACCTGCCTGCCATTAGTCTGCGGAGCCCTTCGTGCTCCGCTCATCCTTTCAGTGGGACAACGTGTTAAATAATCACCTATTCCAGACCTCATAAACAGAAAAATATCTTGCTCCTCGTAAGACGGAAAACAAGGAATGTTCAGACGCCCTCCTCAAAACACAACAAATGTATATTGATATGTTTTTCCTCCTCGTATGTTTTGCCTGACTCACTTATTGATAAGCTTCTAGCATTTATTCTTTTCCTCCGAGATTATAAATCAGAATGGATATAATTAAACGTTGGCTCCTTGTTAACACTTTATAGTTCAAAGAGGAAAAACACCACCAACAAAACACCTTAACAAATCCTATTATTTTACTCTAGGTACCTATAATTAATTATAAACGTTTGCATCTTGTCTGAAATAAACATTATTCATAGATGAGGCAATAAAAACAGAGAAAGCCAGCCAAAATACATTACTCACCATTTTCTCTCCTAGCTGTTTGCAGGTCCTAAACCTCCAGAAGTTGGAACAAGGCTGTGTAGCAGCAGCTGCCCCAGGCAGAATTAATAGAGCAAGTGGGTGGGACTGGCACACAGGTGTTGCTGCTCAGGGTCATTAAGGCACAAGGGCACCTACCACTACTGTCCCTTTCCTGGGCAGCTGTTGGCCATTTTTATCCTTTGGGCCTGGGATACAGCCAACCTGTTGTACCTGGAACAGTTTTAATCTGGCCCGGAGGTAATTTTCAGCCCAAGTGTACTACTGTCCCTAACACAACGCTCAGGCTGAGGCTGCACATTTCCTCAGTTTCATGGTCTCTCATCATTTTTAACTCTTTGGATCACAATCCCCATGTATCTTACCTGGCCATTCTCATTAATAGCACTCAAAATTCATTAAATCTGGAATTCATTAGGCTTGAAAACCAGTTTTAAAACCCATTCTCACCGGTACATCTCAGAAGACAGTTTCTATTCAACTCAAGGACAACATTTCAAAATATCTTACAGATTTTATTGGGAACTGGATCAAGGATAGTGTCATCTAACTGCTGAAATCCCTACTGCAACTAGCAAACAGATCAGTCCCAGTCATTTTTAGGGAATTATTGAGGTTTAAAATCAATATAGTTTGCTTTTAAGTAAGCGTAGCAGTCCTATTGCCCTCAGGAGGGTTTTAGCACATATTTAAATTTAAGCACAAGATGAAATGTTTTCCTTAGTCAGTAATATATATTACAAGCTCTTCTAATTACAATAATTTGTAAATATATCTTTTACACTGTACTATATCTCACCTGTGTTGAATTGCCAATAGCTCCCAGCATTTCTCCATTCTTGGTATGCTCTTATCCCATCAGTGCAGGCTGTGCTGCTGTTTTTGTTCTCCAAGCCAGCCTGACTTTATGATTCTGTTCATTTCACACCTGGCAACACAGAAAATGCAGAGGTAATAGAGGGGAAATCCTCCAGCAATCAGGAAAACGACCAGAACCGCAGCAATGATGTGTGCTATTTTCTCAAGGAGCAATAAAAAGCATGTGAATTTTCAAGAGAGCTAAAAGTCATTGTTTGCTACAGTGGTAAGCCAGCATATGCTCACGTTGTCATTTAATAACATGGAGGATAGCACTCATGACATGGTGGGATGAGGTCAGGTGTGGATAAAATCCTAAGCCCTTTTCTTGGAGGAAGGAATGATTCCTAAGACTGAGGATATGGAGTAAGAAGTGCATCAAGCAGTAGTGGTTGGATTCGAATTCCATGAAATGTTCTATGCATCTGGAACAAGTTGTCCAGAGAGGTGGTGGATGCCCTGCCCCCATCCCTGGCGACATTGAAGGCCAGGCTGGACAGAGCTCTGAGCACCTGATGGAGCTGTAGGTGTACCTGTTCAGTGCAGGGCAGTTGGACTAGATGTCCTTCATGGTCCCTTCCAACTCAGACGATTCTATAGTTCTGTGAAAGAAAAGCAACCAAGACTTGGGAGCTCTGCTTTGAATCTATTTTACACACTTCTGGACCTATTTTACATTCATCTTCTAA